CTGGCGAGTGGGTACATGATTCTCGTTCCGTTGGGCTGTGGCGGAAGCTACGAAAGCAGTTAAGAGAAACCAAGGAGCTGAATAGTAATAACGCACCTTGTCGTTCTCTCGCACAGTCAACTTACGTCCGTCCTCCTCTTCTACAATGCACGCGCAGCTATCCAGTTGTGTTGGTGAAAGAATGGAGGTTGCGCGAGCTGTGTGCGAAGAAGATATGAAGGATAAAACAACTGGGTGGATTCGCAAAGGATTAGCGACACGACTCATGCGGGTATGGTCGTTCACGCACACTGCCCGATACATCCTTAGCGCCAGCGTGGATCACACCCCATCAGAGTGTTGGCCTCGAATCCTCCAGTTAGCGAGAGAGTTTGCCGTTTGTCTGTCGAGGAAGAAGTCAGTAAATGCGCCGTAAAACTTCGATGGTCGTTACACCGGAGGCAAGACCCAAGGCAGTAGGGCGCCTAGTGCCTGACAGGCACTGCGTGTTTCGCCTCGTGTTGCCCTCGTTTTTCCCGGGGTTCCAGCCCAAAAAAACATCGGCAATGGACAGGGACCCCGAAACCATGCCTACAGTGCGCCTACTGCCTGTCAGGCACTAGGCGCCCTACTGCCTGGGTGTTTGCCTCCGGTGTTACACACCTTTAGCAAGACCCTCGTCATGCCGCACCAGCACAACGCCGTGCCACTGCGCTGCCCGCAGTATGTATTCGTATGCGACAGCAGTTCGAGTCCAAAACGGTCTGAAAAGAAGACGGGCTATTCAATGTGAAAACACAAGAAAAATGGCGATATACTGACTTGTTGTCGCTGGTGTCAGGCACCACGAGGCATCCTCCAGCGTTGAGATGTAACGAAAGAAGCCGTCGAACGGCAGCGAGGGGCTATGTGGAGTCGGTAGTCGTCATGGCTTTCGTGTCGTGGGCCCGTTGTGGGTGCTACGAGGAGATTTAGCAAACGCTGGCTAACAGACCAGACAGCGCTAAGCGCACCTTCTGGCTCTCGAATCCCTGCTTTGACTCTTACTCCCTCCGTGTGTGTCTCTGTGGGGTTACAAGAAGGGCGGGGGCCTCGTTTCAGGTGTATGTGTCCGGAGGGAGAATCCCACTCGAAGTCGGGCACAACTGCGTGTCGCCGCGAACGACGATCCGGATTGCTCGCCGGGGACGTGTCAGAGCGGAGGAGAAGGGTCGTCGTGCGGGTCGTGGTGGTGGAGGGAGAAGAAGGAGATCCGAGATCACATGCTCGGGCCGGCGCCGATCTATCTTCTCTCTTCTCCACCACGACCATGTACTTACTTTCTTCCTCGCTGTCCGACACCGTCGAAGGCCATCCGCGGCTCGTTCGCTTGCTAAAGGGGAGGTGCCTGGCCTTGAGTAGTGCAACTTCTCTTGTGCTGACCTGTTTTGCTAGCTCTTGCCCAGACGGCGGCAAATCCTGCCACTGTTATTCCTACTCCCACCATGCGACGGCCGACTACGTCGCTCTCACAGCGCCTGACGTCTTTCAGGCCCGCGGTATTCGAAGCCAGCCGTGTCCTTGGGAAGCGGAAGGCACAACGGGCTTGGTGGCCTTTCTGTGGGGCCAAATCGAGGGGGAGTAGCCCGGAGCCGACCCGATGGAGAATATGGGAGAAGCGATGGGGAGGAGCCGTCCCGTATGGCGCTGGTAATCAAGGTGCGTAAAGCTACTGGCGCTTCCGAGTCTGCTTGATGCTCATCTCTGACGTTCTTAGTCGCGATCTCTCTGTCGACAAGACTCCCTTTTCGTCAGCACAGGACATTTTTGAGGAGGCCGCTGCCTGCTCGATGATGCCTGAAATCTCATCCTCCAACGACACGAGCGCACCAAAGATTGAATAGCCCATTCACGTCTGCAGCAATAGATTGCATTTTATTGGTGTCTATGGTGCGTATCTCCAGTTGCCGCCCGACTTCACTGGTTCTAACGAAACTTATTAGTCCCATTCGCTCTTCATTCCTTGACACTTGCCCATGTCAGCATGTGGATCGACTTTGGCTCGACCGGTGTTGCTGGACGAATGACCTCATTGAGCTTCAAGTCATTATAAGGTGCGATACAGGCCAGATACAGGCTTGCTTCTTCTTCTTCTTCTTGTTTTGCTATCTGAATCTTCTGAAGCTTCTTCTAGCTCCGAGACGGCCACGACTTCAAGTTCACCGTTCCAGGCCCAAACCAATCATCGTTTCTCCACCAGCCTGGATGTTCACCGCCTGCACCATCTGGGGCTGGCCTGGAGTCAGAGAGTAGTAGTCGTTGCACCTGGTTGAGTGAATAGTGGTTCCCCGGGCCTGTATGTACTGTCACAGTTTCTAGCTTCACGTTTGCCTCTGAGCTCTGGGCCCCTTCCGTGCAGCAGCCTGACAGCGCTTTCTGTCTGCGCATGCCAGCCGAACTTTGGGGCCTCATTTTCGAGCTCGACTTCGACAGCGCACAACATCATCCGGTCGAGATGTGGAGCTCGAACCGTCTCCTTCTCCTCAATATCCAGACGCGAAATGAGATATTACGAAGGAGCATGCGGATGCACTACCGCCTCCGACTCGTTTGTCGGGCATGGAAGACCCTCGTCGACTCCAACAGCGCCCTCTGGACAACCATATTCCTCTATATGAAGCCGCGGCAGACGCCGCAAACGGCCCAACCAGCTATCTTCAAGCATCTCCGACGCTCCAAGCAGCAGCCCCTCCGAATTACCCTCTGGGCTGAACAGCCTGAGGACGCTACTAGTAACCGGTTCACCGAACTGTTCGAAGCACTGTTCCAGCATACGGCGCGCTTTTTTCATCTGGACCTCGTCAACGTTGAAGACACTGCTATCCTAGGCAACATCCACGCTGATGGCCTCGGCTCTTTGAAATCGTTTTCCCGGTGCTCTATGAAACCATTCGTCGACGGGCCACAGTTCCTTGCAGCGCTGAAGACGGCGCCATTGCAGAATACTTATGTGCATCATCAACCCATCCAAGTCGATGTTAGATGAATTGGAGAACAGCATCACTTGGGGTGGTGTCCGCTTCTTCGCAAGCAATACACACAAAACCCTTTCCCGCTGCTTGTCTTTTCCGACCGCTCGCACCATTGAACATGTTGCATTGTTCGACTCGGACTGCCTCACCCACGACCCTCTGAGTTCCAACCTGGACGTTATCAGCCCGCGCGGCATCAAGTCCCTGGCAATCGACGGCCGATACAAGCATTGGGATGTTTTATTCAAGATCGTGGTACCACCTCCTTCACTTCAGCATCTCACGATCTACAACGCTTGTGCACTCATGAAACCAGGCATTGTCAATGCGTACCTTGCAGACAACTACGCAAATGTGACTCAGCCGACTCTCCCTGTACTTCGTCTCAGAGGTCTCTGCCAGTGATGCCGACCTTGTATGCCTACTCAATAATATAATCTGCACGCGCTCCGCGAGTTCGACATTCAGCAGCGATTGATGGACCTAAAGCATCCGAGACGCGATGTAATCGGTCAGCTGACGGACTTAACAGAGCGAAAAGACGGCAGACCCAACATCATCCAGGCGCTGGTGCGGCTTCGAACCATTGCATATGAAATTGTGCCCAATCCGGAGAAATGGCGGAATCTCCGGGCACGCTGTTGGAAAACATAGTGAAATTCAGCAACTGGTGGAACAGCATTGGGGCGAGGCGGCGGGACGTTTATCGTGCACAATCAGTCGTTGGCTTCAGCGTTTGCGTTGCATGTAAGGTTTTTGCTCAGTCAGAAGACGTGGATGGAGGCAGGTCACTTTGTTTTCCGAGTAGGTGCAGAACGGCGAGAAGTTTGGAATGTGGGGAAGTCAACTTGAAGGAAGGGCTTCAATTCCACTTGAAGAGGAAAGTACTAGTACTAGTATCTCTTGTGGGATAGTCAGGAAATGTAAAAAAGCTCGATAGACACGCCTAGTATGGAACAATCGTCTTCTTCTCGATACGATGTAGTTTCGATAAGAGAAGTAAGGCAGCAGTGAATATATTAACAGACGGCCGTTCACGCCGTATTAAACCTGAGAACCAAATCAAACAAATTTCAGCTGGTATGCATATATCGAAGTCTACAGATAAATCTCCCACTAGCCTAGGCACAAGCGCCGAACGTCAGTTCTTTCTACCGGAGGCGCACGCTCGCCCAGTTGAATCTAAAATCATTTCCATCAGCCAACTCTCGCAAGAACCAGAACATAAAACACATACCCAGCCGGCGCGGTCACGCAGCCCGAGTTCTTCTTGCTGCTCGCCTGCGCGCCGTTCGCACAGTTGTCGTGCTTGCCGCCCGACTCGAAGAAGTTGATGCCCTTTGCGCCGTTGAAGAAGATACTGCGCGCGGTGCGGCCCTTGGCGAGGAGCACGCACTGGCCCGCTTTCGCCGCGGGTTGTGTTGCGATGACGGCACCGGTTCAGCCGGCGCCGGCGACTAGGAGGGAGGTGAAGAGGGCAGTGAATTGCATCTAAGTATAGTCGCGTCAATGCATTAACCATTCGTAAAGAGAATCACGACTAACCGTGAAGTCGAGCTGAGACGATGTCGTTTCTGCCTGCAGCTATTTATGCAGCAGCAATGTGAGCGAATGAGAATATTTATGGGGAGCGACCGACTGCTGCTGCAGAACTGTCACAGTTTTGCCGAGGGAAACGAAGCCCGCCCAAGATATCGGCGGTCGTTGAATCATGTCAGTGGCAAGCCCTGTCCTCCGCCGCGGCATCACACACCCAGCGATATCACGATTCGCTGACCGTCACGGTGTCGGCTAGTGAATATAATATGAGGACAATACACGGGAAACAATCACCAAGATACCCTACGGGCTGTCACGAAGCCTTTGCTCTATGAGTCTAGCACATGCCAACGATTCCAGAGTCTAGCACATGCCAACAATTCCAGAGGTCGCGGGAGTGGTATTCCGATTGACTTCCTTCACGGACTACCAAAGTAGTGCAGTATCGATAGCGAAACATGGTAACAAGAGCTACTCGTAAAAGTGAGGTCGTGCTCGATGGAATAATTCATCGCGGGATTGCAATGTCGATGAAGGATGGGGTTTGCAAAGCCAGGTCATGCGGGCGCAAGCGTGACCCGCGCCAGAAGGATCTGAAAAGCCTGGGGGCAATTGTCGGCGGGCATGCGAGCGCCGAGCGGCAGCGGTAGGTAGATGAACGCGACTGAAGAACTGGGTCTGAAGGTACCGGGAAACAGATAGAGTGTCGCCAGGGCATTTCGTTGTCGTTTGCGCCATAGTGCAAGCCGTGGTATTGAACGAGAATGTCGGAAGCATTGCCGGGGTGCAAATATCGAGGCAGCGGTAGCGCAAACCGCTTGACGAGCGGGAGTGCATGGTATGTAGTGTCAAAACGCGCAGGGCCTCTGGCTATCCAAAGACCAAGTAAGTACGAAACAGAAGGAATAGCGGTAAGCTTTACTCACCTCCGAGTCTATCTTATGGCTCGCCGACGACAGCAAACTCAGACCTCCGTCCCCGTCCCAAGCCACTGCCGACCTGGTGAGCCATTATAAAGCTTCAGGAGAGAGCGTAGACATACCCTCATGCGCTCAGACTGAAAATCTTTGCGACGAAACGCATCTGGGCCAGTCAAGCGGGGGCAAAACATTGAAAGCACTTGAGAACGCACGCTGCTCTCCCAGTATCCACTTCCCCAGCGGCATTTCGAGCCGCCCAAACGAGTTGGCGTCTCCGCTTGCCAGTGGTAGCACGAATGTCTGCTGTCGTAAATCTCGTTGTCGAAGACGGGGATGTCGCAGCGGTGTGGAAGGGTGAATGCGGGTGGCGATTGTGCCCGCGGGAAGTGAAACAAGCTGGGAGCATATGGGTGAGCAGAGACATTCAATGGGCAGCGCTCAGAATACACACTTCGACACCCAAGATTTCGCCTCTGCACTCTTGCCGTCACCCATGTCTCTTTCTTTCGGTACTCTAGAGTTGGCTTGCAGGCCTGCTTGACAATGCATAAATGGTGAAAGGACGGCTCGTGGGCATTCTGAGCCGCGGCATTGGCTGGGGGTGGTGGAGATGAAGAGAGAGTGATGACGTGTGACACGCGACAATCTTCGCTGACAACAACCTCCACCAGCCCGCAGAAACGACTTGACTCCCTTCCTGTTGTTGTTTTCATCTTGGCCAGCTCTGTACTTGGGTGTCTCGAGTCCTCCATAAGTAATGTTCCAACCTTTGCTTATCTATTCACCGCTCGACCGTCAAGATTGCTTCAGCTTTTTTGTCATGTCTGGCCGCGATCCTGTCCAGGCGCTCTCATTCTTCTGTGCCCCTCGCCGACCCGACCCTCCTCTTGACGGCCCTTCTATTTCTCAACTCAGAGACGAGGCAGAGCGGGTCAAAAAGACGATTCATCAACTGAAAACCCAGCTACAAATCCTTGAAGACTGCTCCAAGACGACCTATCCACCGTTGTCTACCCAATCAACACTCTCCCTGCCGAGATACTCTGCCACATCTTCGCGGCAGCAGTGTTCTCCTCTCCCTCCCTCGATGTTAACCGCACGCTACTGCAAATTACCGCTGTCTGTCAACGCTGGCGGCGGATTGCTATCGCGCATCCACACCTCTGGACGCAATAAAGTCCATGCTTAAACAGATGTGTAAACCAGTGGTTTAGGGAATAACATTAGGAAAAACTTAAAACAGCTAACATTGTAAGAATCAGTCAATTAGGTAACATTTTAAGCAGACGCTAAATTTCTATATTTACAGTGTGAATGCTCCCCGTCTCCGAGAGCTTTCCATCAGCATTCCCAGTCTGGTCTTGACACTTTCATTCCCTGCTGCTTGTCATCGAGCTTGCGCCGTATGGTAGAGGAAATCCGCGATTTGCAGCACCTGCAGAGAACATTTGGCGTTGAGGTTCTGATGCCGAATGGCCATCCGATGCGGGAATCATGGGAGTGCAAGAAGCTGAAAGACTGGGGTGTTGACCGATAATTTGTTTGACTTGTTGTACAACATTGGATATATAATAACACTTCAACTCTTGGTCCATAGACAGACAATGCGGCACTAAAAGGAAATAGACTGGCAAAAAAACTTGAGTATCGTTATTCCTCCAACAAACCGGCGACGCCAGACTTGAAGGCAAGCGACAGCAGCACGCACGTCCTCCAGCGGACACTCCCTGTCATCTAATCCTCATGGTGGAGCACCTGCTCGAACGCGAATGCCACTCTGCGGCGCGACGACCCCGCCTACATGCCCACTGTCGCTGCACAGAACACGCGCTGGACGAAGACCTTCCACTGCGGATAGGACGGCCAAAAGAATTGGGTAGAGAAAGGGAGGTGTGGGGCACATGACAATATAGCAGTGGGAGCCACAGCTGCTGTATCAGGAGAGATACATCGAAGTCTTTCGAAAGGCCATGGGTCCACGTGACTTGCCATTTTGGGACACACTTTAGATTGGGTCGTGCGGATAGCGCAGGCGTCGACAGGGAGGTGGCTATGCAAGACGGGAAGGTGATGAAGCAACGGCAGTAGCCATATCAAGTTCGGACAGCATTGTAGGGATGAGGTATGTGTCGAAACAGCGTCAACGTTGGAGAACGATCTTGACAATGGCCATAACCGTCGAAATACGCCAAGGGAAGCATTGAATGTCAGGGTGGTGGTGGCTTGCAGAAGAAGATACGGTTTGTAGGCCTCTACACAATGATTTCGCGACGCTGCACGATTGTCTGCTGGATGTGCTTGGGTCATCTCAGGCCAAAAAGGCGTTAAAAAGACAGCCGCGCGTATGTCTGGCTTTGAGGAAGCATTGATTGAAGTCGGGTTATGGGGTTTCGCATTCGTTGTCGATGAGCAAGAATCCATGGGCCTTGCAGTGGTCATCTTTCGTGAAGAGGTGATGGATGTATTGACGGGTATGTATGTGGATATGCATTCGTAATATGTCTATCTGCCCCTTAGTGGTTAGCTTCGATATTCTCAGAGCACATAATCACCCATACCAGAGTTCTCCATCGCAAGGCTATTCAAATTGGCTGTCCATTTTCGTCACTGTCGATGGTGAAGATGCTTGGTCCCGGGAGAAGGAGCGCGACAGGGCCAAAGTGGGGGTGAAACGAAGACAGAGGAGGGACAAGAGTGCCGAAGATGTGCTCGAGCCCCGACATCTGGGAGAAACGGTGGAGAATGAGTCTATTGAGCGGAAGGGGACCAGTCTTTGGCAAACGAAGGGCGTTCTCTGGCTCTGAAAGCCCTTGAAAATGGCGTTGGAAGCGATTGTGGATGTGGATACAGCGTCAGCGACAAATAAACGCGGTATGTGTGGATTAGTGAGGACTTCATCGTTGCTCCGAAGTCGCTGCACAGTATGATTTGAGAGTGAAAATTGAGTCCTAAGGTTGCTATGATACACTTGAAAAGCGAGAAAAAAAACAGGTCAACGCACCAATAAGTACCCGCAATGCACCATGACCCATGTGTCGCCCCCTCGTCTAGCTTCCCTCTCCCTCTACATCCTCCCCTGCTGCAGCAGCACTTCTTTCGTCTCCATCCACCCCGTGCTTTGAGCTGAAGAAGGCGTTGGGATAGGTGGGCTGGCTTGACGACATGACCGCGCAAAGAGAAGAGGAGAATTTAGAAAGTGTGATGTCACGCCTTCTGGCTTCAAGCTTGCTCTTCCTTTCGGTTCGCGAAGAAACAACACACATGCTAGCGTTCCTAGTGCGGCTTCCCTCCACTTCTCTTCAAGCCAGCGCTAATACTCAACTTGCTCTCAAGCCCTTAGGCAACAACTCAAACGTGGCTCAGCTTCAAATCCGGGCCATAGACGACGACAACTTCCTGTTCTTGTTATGGAATCTGATATTGAATACAAGAGTACCCCTCGTTTAAGTGTTCTCCTTAATCCAACGCCTGGCGACTGCGATGTTGTCATCACGACAGTAAACGCAGAGGTGTCCTCACTCTGAATCATCGACTCATACTAGGCAACCATTGAACGCCGCTGCTCGTGTGTCATCTACAAAACAACGCGTCAGCACATATACATACACTCCCGCAGTTACAAGCTTGAAGCAACATACTGTTCAGAATCGGGTTTACCAAGCGGGTATCCACCCCACTCTGGGCCAAAAACGACTCCAGAAACAAGAACGTCATTCGTCGTGTTGCCGGTGGGGAAGGACTGAACTCCGCCAAAAAGGACGACGGACGTCGACATGGAACTGGTTGATAGGTCCATTATCCATGATTGAAATGTATGACCCCATGGTGCTTGCTGGTGCGGTGGTGCCAGAGAGCGCTGTTATGTCGACTGCTTTCAAGTTAAGTCGCAGCCTACTCAGTCTAATTTTGGTCGCCATCATAACAATTAAAGCCAGGCCCAGAATTCGGAAGGGGCCCAAGCCTTCTGGCCACGCAAGAGCAGATGTGTCCCTGGAAAATGATCAGTCCCAGCGGTTTGCTTCTTCTCTTAGCTATTGTGGAGGGCCAGTATAAGTAAAAACAACCATCTTCGCCAGCAAAACGCCGACCATGGGTTCCTACGCCTCCACCCTCAACGACACCAACAACATCCTCTACATCAAATACGCAGCCAACAGCGTCGGGCTCGGGATCGCAGCCGTCGTCAGCGGCCTGCTCGGCGTCGTGGCCCTCGTTGTACTACTAGTAACGGGTGGTCTGATTGCCGTCGCACTCGTGCCTGCGGCTGCGTCGCTCACGTTGGGCACCACGGGAATCACGCTGACGCTAAGCGGTGTTGCGCAAGTCTTCCTCCCCCTTTGTGTGTGGTCCGCTGATCACTTAGGCGCAATGGACCTAGCGACCAGGGATGCAGGCTACCGGGCCGTCGCGCCCGGGAACTCGTACAAGTCAAGCAAGCTCAGCTTGAGCCTCGTGCACCAGGCGGATGTTAAAATGGTCCAGAAGGTCAACGACAACACAATCACTATGTGGTCGGGGAGCTTCACGGTGTTCAGTGGCGCCACGGCGAAGTAAGCACTGACACGAATAGTGGAATCAGCTTACTCACGGTTGCGCCAGCTCGGTGAAGACATACAAGATGTCGCAGCAGCTCGGGAAGCTGGAGATGAAGCAGTTCATGTTCACGGACGCGAGCGACCAGACGCCACTGGCAGGTTTGCCCTCGCCGGACAGTTTGCCAACTTTTCGCTGGTGCAGTTTCCCCGACCAGAGTTCGGTGCGGTGGACTTGGGATTGCACTCGACATGTACCACATCAAAGCTGGCGGATTTGGATTGACGACACGTTCTCTGTTGGAACCGCAGCCCAGGTATCGTTGACAGTGTAATTCCTGAAAGATTGTCCCAAGGGAGAGATTTCGCCCTTATCGTGTCAGCAAATTGGTTTGCCCGAGCTACAGCACTGTTCAAGGCTGCGACATCGATGGAATGTAGGGGGCGTGTGGCAAGAGGTCGTGAGTGAATAGGGAGAGTTGGTATGCCTTCTCGCACGCCTTCGGATAG